GCTTTGAGCAGTACTCTGTTCAGCAATACATAATTCACAATGGACAATGAAACAAACTTGATACTCATACCCTGGAACCCACTGAAAGAAACTCGTGGTAGCACTATCAGTTGGTTGCAAACTAACTGAAGTGATTGAAATTGTTATGCCCAAACCAGCCAAGTATGTAAAATGGATAAAAGACTCAAGACAGGAGCTAAACATGCTAGGACAAACAGCCTGCTGTCCAATGACTGAAGTGAAAACTTCAAAACAGAGCTTCACTAGTAGAGTTGATCAAGCAGAAGAATCAGTTAACTTGAAAACGGGTTATTAGAAATTATCCAGGCACAAAAGAAAAAAGAAAAAAAGCATAAAAAAGAGTGAAGAAAGGCTAAGGGATTTAATCGAACACCATCAAGCAAAACAATGTATGTATTATATAGGTTCGAGAAGAAGAAGAGAGAATGGAACAGAAAGTCTATTTAAAGAAATAATGGCTGAAAACTCCCCAAATCTGGGGAGAGAATTGCACTTCCAGATTCATGAATCTCCAAAGTTCCCAAATAGGTTGAACTTCAGAAGGTCTACTAAAGACAAATAATTGCCAAAAGTGAAAGGCAAAGCATTTTGAAACCTGCAGAGAAAAGTAACTCATCACATACAAGAGAGCCTTCATAAAACTACAAACAGATTTCTCAGCACAAAGTTGGGAGGTCAAGAGAGTGGGCCATATTCAAAATACTAAAAAACAACTGCCAGCAAAGAATACTTGGCAAAGCTGTACCTCAGAAATAAAGGAGAAAGATTTTTCCATACAAACAAAAGCTAAGGGAGTTGGTTAGCACTAGATCTGCCTTATAAGAAATGCCAAAGAAATTCTTCAAGCTGAAACAAGAGGACACTAACTAGCAATGTAAAAACATGAATCTATAAAACTCACCAGTAAAGGTAATCTACAGTCAAATTTAAAATTCTCTAATATTGGTGAATTTGATGTGATGTGTAAAAACTTTTATCTCAGTATAAAGTTAAAAGATAAACATACTAAACTAATTGTAACTACAATAATTTGTTAACAGATATATAACATTAAAAAAATGTAAATTGTAACATCGGTACCTAAAATGTGGAAGAGGGGGACAGAGAGTATAAGTACAGATTTTTTTTGGTATGCAATTGATGTTATTATAGGCTTATAATAGTTTTTTACAACCATAAGATGTTTTATGTAAACTTACAGTAATCACAAAGAAAAAATCCCATAGAAGATACAAAAAAGATTAAGAGAAAGGAATCAAAGCATACCACCACAAAAGTCATCAAGTCACAAAGAAAGACAGCAAGAGAGAAAGAAATGAACAAAGAAATCACACAACAGTAAGAAAACAATTAAAATGGCAATATTAAGTCCTTACCTATCAATAATAATTTTAAACATACATAGGTTAAATTCTCCAATCAAAAGACAGAATGGCTGAACGGTTAAAAAAACAAGATCCAACTAAATGCTGCTTACAAGAGACTCACTTTAGCTTTTTTTTTTTGAGACGGAGTTTCGCTCTTGTTACCCAGGCTGGAGTGCAATGGCGCGATCTCGGCTCACCACAACCTCCGCCTCCTGGGTTCAGGCAATTCTCCTGCCTCAGCCTCCTGAGTAGCTGGGATTACAGGCACACACCACCATGCCCAGCTAATTTTTTGTTATTTTTAGTAGAGACGGGGTTTCACCATGTTGACCAGGATGGTTCTTGATATCTTGACCTCGTGATCCACCCGCCTCGGCCTCCCAAAGTGCTGGGATTACAGGCCTGAGCCATCGCACCCGGCCTCACTTTAGCTTTTAAGAAATATGAAGGCCAAATGTGAAGGGATGGAAAGACATTTATTGCAAATGGTAATCAAAGGGTATAGGGATGGTTATACTTGTATCAGACAAAATAGGCTTTAGCTCAAAAATTATCAAGAGACAATGAAGGTCATTAAAGTGATTAAAGGGCCAATTCAATAAGAAAATACAACAATTTTATTTATTTTTTGTATTTTTGAGACAGAGTCTTGCTCTATTGCCTAGGCTGGAGTGCATTGGTGTAATCTTGGCTCACTGCAACCTCTGCCTCCTGGGTTCAAGTGATTCTCATACCTCAGCCTCCTAAATAGCTGGGATTACAGGCATGTGCCACCACACTCAGTTAATTTTTGTATATTTGGTAGAGAAGGGGTTTCATCATGTTGGCCAGGCTGGTCTTGAACTCCTGACCTCAAGTAATCTGCCTGCCCCAGTCTCCCAAAGTGCTGAGTTTATAGAGCCACTGTGCCCAGTCAGAAAATATAACAATTCGAAATATCTGACATCAGAAGACCTAAATATATAAAGCCAATATTAACAGAATGAAGAGAAATAAAGAGGAACAGAATAATAGGATACTTTAGCAGCTCACCCCCCTTAACAACAGAGAGATCATCCAGATAATCAATAAGAAAACAGCAGACTTGGACAACATTATAGACCAAGTGGACCTGTATAACAGATATAAAGAACATTCCATCTAATGGCAGCAAAATAAACATTCTTTTCAAGTGCATATGGAACATTCTGCAAAATAGATATGTTAGGCCACAAAACAAGTCTTAACAAATTAAAAAAGACTAAAATCATATTGAGTATCTTTTTCAACCATAATGATATAGAAGTAGAAATGAATAAAAGGAGGAAGGAAAATTCACAAGGATGTAAAAATCAAACAACACACTCCTTAGGCAAAGAACAGGTCAAAGAAAAGATCAAAAGAAAAATAAAAAAAACTTCAGCAAAACAAAAATGGAAACATTACATACCAAAATGTATAAGATGTGGTAAAATAAGTTCTAAGAAGAAAGTTTATAATGATAAATGCTTACATTAAAAAAAAGATGAGAACACGTCATGGCTAACATAAAAAAAAAAAAAACAAAACTACAACAACAAAACAAAACAAAAAACACAACACACAGCAACCAACCTAAGTTTAAATCTTGAGGAACTAGGAAAGAAAAATAAGCCCAAAATTAACAGATGGAAGGAAATAATAACGATTACAGCAGAAATAAATAAAATAACAAAAGAGAAAAAAAAGATTTTAAAATAAATGAAAACTGACAAACCTTTGTAAGACTAGCCAAGGGAAAAAAAGAACTCAAATAAATAAAATCATAAATGAAAGAGGAGAAATTACAACTAGTACCAAAGACGTACAAAGAATCATAAGAAAATACTATGAACAATTATGCATCAACAAATTACATCACTTAGAAGAAATGGACAAAATTCTAGAAACATATAACCTATCAAGGCTGAATCATGAAGAAATGGAAAATAGAAACAGACTAATGCAGGTAAGGAAACTGACCCAGTAATAAAAAAACATTCCAACAAAGAAAAGCCAAGGACCAGATGACTTCATTGAATTCTACCAAATAATTAAAGAAGAATTCATGCCAATTCTTCTCAAACTCATCCAAAAAATTGAAGACGAAATACTTCCAAACTTATTTTATGAGAAAAGTATTACCCTGATAGTAAAGCTAGATAAAAACACTGAAAGAAAAACTCAAAGGCCAATATCCCTGTTGAACCTAGATACAAAAATTCTCAACAAAATATTAGCAAACTGAATTTAACAGCATACTGAAAGGGTCATATACCATGACTAAATGCGACTTATCCCTGGGATACAAAGATGGTGCCACATGCAAATCAAGACATTAGACACGCCACATTAACAGAATGAAGGACAAAAATCATATGATCATCTCAATAGATACAGAAAAAGCACATGACAAAATTCAACACCCTTTTATGATAAAAAGCTCTCAACAAATTAGGTATGAAAGAAATGTATCTTAACATAATAAAGGCCACATGTGTCAAGGCTACAGATAACATCATACTTAACAGTGAAAAGCTGAAATCTTTTTTGCTAATATCAGAGACAAGACAACAAAGAATAGAACTCACCAGTTCTGTTCAACAAAGTACTGGAAATTCTAGCCAGAACAATTAGTCAAGAAAAATAAAATCAGTAAGGAAGAACTAAAATAGTCTCTTTGCAGATGACATGATATAGAAAACCCCAAAGACTCCACCAAAAACTGTTAGAACTAATAAATTCAGTACAGTTGCAAGATACAAAATCAAAATACAAAAATCAGTTGGGTTTCTACAGGTTAACAATGAACTGTTTGAAAAAGAAAGAAATAATCCTACTTACAATAGCATCAAAAACAATAGAATACTTAGCAATAAATTTAACCAAGGAGGTGAAAAATCTGTTTACTGAAACCTACAAGCCATTGATGCAAGAAACTGAAGTACAAATAAATGGAAAGATGTACCATGTTCATGAATTGAAAGAATTTTGTTAAAATTTCCATACTACCCAAAGTAATCTACAGAGCTAATGTAATCCTAATAAAAACTCCAATGGCTTTTCCCCCACACAGAAATAGAAAGAAAAGACAATCTTAAAATTTGATGAAACGACCAAGGAGCTTGAGTGGCCAAAACAAAAAAACAAACTGAAGGCATCAAACCATCCAACCTCAAAATACATTACAAAGCTATAGTAATCAAAACAGCCCTGTACTCCATAAAAAGACACATAGACCAAAGGAACAGAATAGATCTCAGAAATAAACCCATGCAACTACCTTTGACAAAGCTACCAAGATGCAATGAGGAGAAGATACTGCAAGAAAAAATCAAAAGTGCTGGGAAAACTGTATACCCACATGCAGAATTAAATTGGTCCTTGACGTTTTATGTAACTGAAGTAGTTTGAAAAGGAGAGTGAGTGAGAGAGTGAGCAAGCTATAACACCAGGCTGGGACCAAGTCAGGGGTTACCAAATGTCAGGCTGAGCTTTGGTACTTTATTTGGCAAGAAAATAAAACTGAAAATAAAGTTATGTAGTAGCTCATCAAATGAAAAAGGATGCATTTAGTTCTAAAGTTCAAAATGAGTGCAGTACATCACACTCCAGTATGGAAAATGTTCATGTTATAGGTCATTTTAATGAACACATGCACACACACTTTAGTTTTCAAAGACAAAAGTTTAAAGAAAATACTTTTTAGTCAAGTACAGATCCCCAAAGTTTTATTTAAAGCAATTTTTTATTTAAATAGTCTTCATTTTTGAAACATTTTCCCCTAGTACTCTAATTTCAAAATCAGCATTTCTCAAATGCTGATGCCACTGGGAAAAATTTCCAAATTGGTAATGAAAACATATGCTATGTACATCTGCTCAAACCAAGAGCAACATGATGTCAAACAAAAATGGATGGCATTAAAACAAAAATCCAAAAACCCATAATGGCAACTCAAAAGCAGCGATGAGAACAAGCAGAAATTAAAATCTCTAGCTATAAACAATGAAGAGTTACAGATTAAATCTAAACTTTACTCTTTCTGTTAGTACAAATCAGAAATCTCTTGCTACTAATTTTCAAATAGGATGCAACGGAGGTGTTACTTTTGTATTCTCAGTAACTACCTTTCCTCACCTGCTCCCTACAGCTTTCTTCTAAAAATTTCCCAATCCCTTGGGCAAATTCCTCTCTTGATCAGCTCAGGAAATAAATGTGATCCAATCTGGGCAAAATCAAAGTACTTCTCCAAAATTTTACATAGCTTGCTATATAAAATCTTTGAACCTTGCTATGATAAGGTAAGCTTAAACTGTCAATTGTTGTTATCCACCATCTTCACCTCATTGCTCCTCATCCCTAACAGAATATCCCCAAGGGGATAATCTGCCTGGAAGAGAAAAACCAATCCATAAAAAAAGAAAATAATCAGAGCCAAGTGTGTAGAATGATAAGATGACTTCTTTTGACGACTTCCCTTCATGCTGACGCTATTTTGAGTTTCTGTCACTTGCAAATGAAGAATGATTGGTTACTCATCATCCTTCACTATATCTACCTGAAAATAAACAACACATTTTAATGCAATAGAATAAGGCTTAGTCCATTTCATGTTGTTATAACAGAATATCTAACACTGGGCAATTTATTTTTTAAAAGAGTTTTATTTGGCTCATGATTCTGTTGGCTGGAAGGTTCAAGATTGGGCAGCTGTTATCTGGCGAGGGCCTCATGTTGCTTCCACTCTTGGCACAAAGTGAAAGGGGAGTAGGCATATGCAAAGAGATCACATGGGAAGAGAGGAGGCAAAAATGAGAAAATCAAGGAAGCCAGACTCTTCAATAACCTGCTCTTGTGGGAACTAATCCATTCCCACGACAGCAAGAATGAGAACTCACTCACCCCAGTAGGAGGGCATTAGTTTACTCATGTGGGATCTATCTGCCCCCATGACCTAAACACCTTCCAATACTTCCCAACACTAGCACATGGGGAATCTAATTTCAACATGAGTTTTGGTAGGAACAAACTACATCCAAACTGTAACAGTGTATGATTAAATAAAAATAGACCAGCATCTTTATGTAAAATTTAGTAACATGAATTCAGGTATAACACAAAGTATATGTCAACCTAATTAAGCAGAAATGTATAAAGAAAACTGTTGGCATTATAGTTATGTGATTAACATTTTATTATATGTCATGAAACCTGAATCCCACTACTTGCTACATGAAAACAAACTGGCTCAATACAGTTTGAAATATTAAATATCTATTTTTAATAACTTTTCAATTTTTTTTTTTTTGAGACAGAGTCTCACTCTGTCACCCAGGCAGTGCCCAGGAGTGCAGTGGCATGATCTCAGCTAACTGCAACCTCTGCCACCTGGGTTCAAGTGATTCTCGTACCTCAGCTCCCTGAGTAGCTGAAATTACATGTGCCTGCCCCTACACCTGGCTAATTTTTGTATTTTTAGTAGAGACGGGGTTTTGCCATGTTGGCCAGGCTGGTCTCAAAAATTCCTCGACTTCCCAAAGTACTGGGATTACAGGCATGAGCCACTGTGCCTGGCTAATTCATATTTATAATAGGCACAGGTACAAGTGTTATTTACTATAATTTACTACTATTAATCCCATATGTATAATTAGCAATTATGAAAGGCCTATCTTTGAAATCATTGCTTAAAAAAATAAAACCAAGTGGAGCTTTTCTCCTTTTAAGATGTGATTTATGAACAAAATGCAGGATGCTGAACTTAACAAGGGTCAAGGGGTTTGTTTACTCATCAGAATTTGTCAATAATCTAACATGGAGAGGGCCTCCAAAAAGAAATTGGGTCTTAATGCTACAAACGTCTAGGGCTTTCAGTTTATTCCAATTCCATACCCTCCAAGCCATTGGTAATTCACTAAAACACATGTGTATTGTAAATCTTATGGCAATAAATATGCATATTAATCAAATAAGTTGAAAGTTAAATTTAGGGGAATTCTGAGTTATATTCTTTCCCAAGAAAGCCTATAATTGAAAATTCTAATAGAATTCTAGAAAATAAAGATGGCAAAGATGCATTAGATGATGTAAATTTCTTTTTTCCTCCTCAGCAGTGGAAAGTACAGGATATTTTGTTTTTTGTCTAGTTTTCAATTTAAATTCAGAAGGGACGGAACTCAATACTTTTCTTGGAAATGAGACTGCATCATAACAGATTTCACTGTCAGGAAATTCCTATCCACCCTGATATTCAGATCACACGTTCTTTTTGTACACTTTATCCCACTTTTCCTAATAACAATTCTATGACATGTTTCACTCAATTCATCTATTTCCTGCTGGTTTCAAGAAGGCACATTTCTCTTTAGATTATAAATGAATTCCTTGAAATCTCATTTAATTGTCTCTCCAGTAATATTGTGAAAAACATAATTCTACACAAATTCTTTATCATGTATTAGGGGAAGATTCCTGAAGTTGCTTTAGAGATTATATATATGTATATTTCTCAAATTTCAAGGCCTCACTTTCTATGAACTTTCTATGAATCACATTTCCACTACTACTTTTATACCAAGGGTCTTTCCGGCATTACTGTTTTTCGATTCTCTTCTCCAATTTCTACCCCAAGTTATACTTGTGTTCTACAAATTCTCATTTTCTCATTATCTTTTCATATTTCAAGGTCTCCTTAACTAACATCTCTGGTTTCTTTTCGGCAAAAAACTTATTCCAACTATAAACTAAAATGAATTTCATTAATGTCCAATTTTATCATTGCTTTTTAACCATTAAGTATACACATATAATACAGATGTAACAATCTTTTACTCTCTTATACTCTTATTGCAGTTTCATAGTGATATAAACTCCAATAAAATTAAGATTTTTCAGTATGTGAGATCAAACTGTATACAGAGCTGCCATAACGTATAAATTAAGCTGTGTATATACCTTAAAATGTACATATACATCCCAATAACATGTTGATTTCCTACTTTTTTAAAAGTTATTGCTAGACATATCAAAATACAGTATAAAACTGACCATCACACACCCTTCTGCAGTAATGATGAGAGTGGACTGGGAATGTGATGAAAGGCACAGAATTCGTAAGATTTGAATAAGTAGATGAATGGCTCAAACAATGTGGAGCCACTGATTTTCTGAAGTGAATATAAGAAACAGTAGTTGATAGTATTTATTCAGGCTTTTAGTCCAGACATTGTACTAGGAGTTTCTCAAGTAGAAAAGCTGTCTCACAAGGGTAAGTTACATATGAACTCTAAAGATAAGAAAGGGCAACTGATGGATGACTAGTTCTTCGCCTGTGGCTAGACAGTGCGTTGTACAGCCTTTCTGTTTAATGAGGTTCTACTAAAGAGAATGCCAACTCTGTGGTTGACACAGGTGATCCTTGGGTTTGGTCATACATCAAATTAACAAATAAAAAAGTTTTTAAGGCTAGGTGTAGTGGCTGATGCCTGTAATCTCAGTGCTTTGGAGGCTGAGGTGGGAGGATTGCTTGAGGCTAGGAATTTGAGACCAGCCTGGGCAACAGAGCCAAACCTGTCTCTACCAAAAACAAAAAATATTAGCCTGGTAGAAGCCTGTTGGGAGGATCATTTGAGCCCAGGAGTTTAAGGAAGCTATGCTCGTACCACTTGCACTCCATGACCCCATCTAAAAAAAAAAAAGAATGAAATAAAGAAAGAAAGAAAAAGGAAAAAAAACACCTTTCAGTTTATGGAATTAAGCATATTAAAAGCCAGGGCCTAGTAAGTACTACACTGATCAAGTGCAAAGGTGAGTTTTTAAAATGAGTAAAGGGGTCTTACATGTCAATTAATTCAAGAGGCTATAAAACACATTTTTAAAAAAAGTTTAGATTATTTTTCATACAAACAAAAAATTCCAATCACCCACTGACAATACCCCAATCATCCAACAGCTCATCAATGCAGAGTCTGCTGCAATTCTCTGTAAATTTTCATATTCTTCCAGAAAAAGCGCTCAATTTTCATTGCCAAGGTTCTTGGTAGATTCACTTTTCACTAGGAAAAAATAAGTAAACATACAGTCAAGTGTTTATACTGTTTCTGTTTAGCTTGCTTTGTCTCTCTTCTCTCCCTCCCTCTGATGCACAGCAACAGCACTACTCACTGGGACACACAAACCACATTATGTCCCAGGCAGCTAGGATATACAATTCTGGCCACAATAAATAGAGAAATGATGTCTGAAAGTGGCAATTATATTTTGTGAGGTAACATCCTTCCTGACTCTGTGGAAGACTGGGGAATGGTCACTTCACAATGTGGTTATGATCCATATTCATGCCATTGAATAGATCACTATTATCCAGGCTGGCCATTTGTGGTTGGAATAAATTTTTCCATGACTTTTTTTTAAACTTAAATTGAAGGTCAGTATATGTTGAGTCAATGTGGAGTGACAGAAGACTAGCTAATCGCCATCTCCTTCCTTTCACAGGAAAGAAGACTCAGAGTAGAAATGGAGCTTCTTTGACACCCCTGTCTTGCTTAGAGCAAGCAAGACTGACTATGACTCACTAAACTGAGTTCCTGGAGGACAGAAACTAGACGTTTTCTTCTCTGTACTATCCTCACAATGTAGAGCATGTTTGCTGAATCAAGGTAAATGCAAGTCATTCTGCCTTTTAGTGTTTTTTCCCTAAATCTCCAAAATGGGAACCAGAGTAAGTGTTCTATTTCATTGTATTGTGATGTTAAAAGGAAATAATAGGTAGTAACTCCTTAAAAATTGTCATGGTAAAATATGTTATTTTGAGGCTTATGGCTGTTGTCTCCATTGAATAGATAAGAAAAATAAAGCTCAGAGAGGCAAAGTAAATGCTCAAGGGCCCACAGGTTATAAAAGCTGATGCTAGAAGCATACACCTGGAACTGTGCCTCATATTCCAAGTGACAAGTTCCCTGGGGTTTGCTGTTGTATCTAGACTTCAGACTGTACCAGCAACCACAATAGTGTTTACTGAGTACTTTTCATGAGTAAGGCGTTGAAATAAGTTTCATCCAAGATATCGTCCCAATCTTTGTGAAATTTTATTAACACTAGCGGTCCATCCAGTTCCTCCATGATATTGTAAGTTTTTTCCTCCTCTGGCTGTCTCTGTACTTCAGGCAAACTATTGTAGCATCTATTGCATAGTAAGTTTTACATGTGTCTTCCAGTGCCTAAAATCCTTCCCTCTCTCCCTACAAAAGGAAAAGAAAGAAAAGAGAGGTAAGGAATAATGAGGAAAGGTGAGTGAGGGAGAATGGATGAAAGATTTACTGGCCCAGTAAGAGACTGATATATGAGTAGCTGCTGTGTCAGGTATTGTCACTAATCAAGTAATCGATTTTGGGTTGAATTCCTTCTCTAAAGGCTGAGGCATTTTCTAATTTTGAGTTATATTAGAACATTGAAAAGTATATTTTGCTGACATTTATAAATTAATGGGAATTTGTAGCAGTATGGAGGGCACTTTCCCCTTTCTTTGCCTATTGAAGGTGCCCAGTTTTCTTCTTTAAATTAGGGATCCATTCTTTTTTCCTTAGATTGAAATGCAGCATGCTTTTATCAATCATTTAAATCTGCAAACTAACTTTGGCTAATAACAGCCTGTGAAGCAAGTTACACCATTCTGAGCACTTCCTACTGTATTGATGTAGGTAATCAGAACTCAGCATCTCCAATCTAGCGGACTATCTTAACTGCTCATCCTTTTCCAGTTAACCTTTTCCATTCCTAAAAAAGCAACAAACAAACAAAATTTTGGCTATTATTGATTAATATAGGCAGAGTTTAAAAAAATTATGGCAATCTACAATCAAAACAAATACTATAACAACCATCAGGTGTTGGAACTACTGAATCCCAGCCCAGAAACATATTTACCCCCAAATTAGGAAAGAGACAACTTGTACTATGAACTTAGGATCAAAATCCAACTTTTTCACCTCCAGAGAGAGAAGGAATTTCAAGACTCTCCAAAGAAAATGCCCTCTTCTTACATAATCCCCTTCCCTCATCAAGGGATCACCCTGCAGAATATCTGATGCTGTGAGAATGTATAAAGAAACAGACACCTTAAAGTACTTACAGAAAGAAATGCACATACAGGAAGACCTGGGCATTACTTTTAAGGTATGTGTACTTATGATGTGACAAAACTGGTATGGTTTTAAAATCCTGTCAGATCCTTTTGGTTTTTTGCTAACACAGTTCTAAATAATCCTCTGTACTAAAAGCATGAGTCATCTGTGTTCTGTAAATAAGTCAAACATCATATACCTACCAGAAAAATAGCAAATTTTATTCAATAAGGCTCCCAGTACACTAGTAGTCTTTTCTTATTGCTTCATTACAGAAAGCCTTCCTTAAATGTACATTCCTATACAAGGTGAAAGGAGAGCTGTGTGTACTGTTTATTTACACAGATGATGTTTGCCCTAGCTACTAACCTACATCACTAAACAATTTTTCCTGAAACCAACATTTGAGAGAGCACTGTGTGAATTTATTAAGAAAAAAGCAAAGTAATACAAAGCTTAAACAAAGTGAAACTGGCCATTTAAAACTAAAATTCCTAGTTTATTTTGAGAAAATTATATAGAATATTCTCAAATTGTGAAAAATATTAATGTCATGAATAAAATGTGATTTGGAGGTCTATAATTTACTATTAGAAACACCATGTTTGCCAACTAAAATCTACTTTCAAGTTGTAGCACTGGTAAAATTTGACCACTTTGAAAAACATTTTTTTCTATTAAGTTTTGCAAAGAAAAAACACTATGCGCAACAGATAAAAAATTACAACATAGATTACTGCATCTTATAGAGTAATGGTGGTATAACAATAAAACTTAAATCACACATTGCAAATACTACTTAAAGAATAGAGTTCAATTCAAGACAAAGATTCTATGTTCCTCTGAAGTTTGTTATAACAAAACTGGGCCTGTATCTATAATTCCTGTAGTTGAAAGTGCTATGTAATAGTTTTGGGTCAAGGTGAGTAATTTTCTTCACTTTTTAAAGACAGTCACTAAATTTTACTCATCCTCTAAAATCTTGAATTCAGAAATACAATTAGTTTACTTTAGTCAGAAGTTATAACTATAGTTAAGTAATTTTATGTATTAAACTTTTATGTACATTTTTTCCAGTTCTAGTACTTCCCTGTATCACAAAATCAGAGAAACAAAAGCAGAGAAAATAAAACCAGTGGGTTTAGAAAAGGAGATAAAGGGTAAAGGCAATGATAATAGCTTAGTCTAAATGCTGCCAAATTTTTAAATATAATGTTCCTTGCAATATTATCTCTTTCTATAAGGTAGAATACTAGCTTTTTTTTTAATCATTCAACATTTTTATTGTCAACTAAAAATATTTTGTAATCCCTCATTTTAGAAATGTCTAAAGTCTTAACTATGGAGTAAATGTATGTAATCATGGACAGTTACTTAAAGACTATTAGCTTAAAAAGAGACAAAAATACACAGAACTCCAGGCCAAAAAAATCCTTTCTTTGTCATTCAATTTGATTCATTCACTTAAAATTGGTCTTAAAAGATTATATGCTCGTAAAAACAGAAAAAGAGCAGCATCTCATTTATTTAGTTCTTCACATTAGCTGTAGCTATAGAGTAGATCCTGTAAGTGTGTAAATACAGTGGGAAAACATGTATAAAGAAATAAGAGTGGACCCATTTTGCTTTGGTTTCTCTATAGCTATTCTAAGCATTACAGGAACAAATTTACACTTACCTTGGTGAAGAACTTTCACGTCATTATTGGATCCTTTCAATACCACATGTAATGTTGGATACTCAATGATCACTTTGTTCCTCAAATTGTCTAGGAGACTTTTATAAGGATCTAGTTCATAATATCTTATTAATAAAAAACAAAAACAAAAAAATAGGAAATACTCAACATTCAAAATTACTAATAAATATATGAAAATTTTTTACATTAAAAATTTTTAAGAGGTGATGACAATTCAGTAGTTATTTTCTTATAGTATAATAACTTTAATACCTTCTAAGAAAGGCAGGTAAAAGCTATTATTATAGAGGTTCTAAAACTAAATTAAAAAAATCAAATATTCTGACATTAGGAAAGCTCTAGAACAAGCTACCAATTTCCATATCAAGTAAAAAATAAAGGCTTTTACATAATATTTATTGTTCTTATTCTTCTTGAATAAAAGGATGACTAGCTAAAACAATTCAAATTCCTCAAATATATTTATTTTGAGTCTTAAAGACAACCAATCATCTTATGATAATTTCCAGTAACATGGCAATAAAATAACTGATTATGAAATTGGCTTTTGTAAAAGTCAATTATTTTAACTAGTTTCCAGAAATTTATATTGCCATATAAAATTTAAGAAACATGGAGTTTATCATGACATAGCTGCTGAATGTGTCACAGGTAATTACCTGCTAATTCATTAAAGTATGAAATTCGCAAATCATTATTTAAAAAAAATAAGTTTGAGGTGATTGAATATGTATCTCCCGAACATTCATTCTTGCTTGCTTTCTGGGGTAGGAGTGAAAGGGGTAGAATTCTAGCTAGCTCACTAGCAGGTACATCCAAGAATACGTTGGCATGTTAATGTCATTTCATGCCAAAGAAGAAAAAGCTGAGAACATGTCCATCAGTGTAGTGAAGTTCTCTCCAGCATTTTTATTCATCTCTACCACTGACAGATGATATTCACATGTAAAATACATATCACATGAGATATACAGACTAATAGCTATAAGTCCATCCTTTTATCTCCTGCTCAAAAAAGGACACTGGAACACAACTGATCAAGAGTGAGGCTATCATTGGAATGCATTTAAATTTGCTGTAATTGTAAGCGTGAATTTTAACAAACTTTGGTATTTCTTAATTAGTAATAAATTATCTGCACCATCATAGCTGTCTAAGACATGCAGGATATTTATTAAGAAATCTGATGTAGGGATTTCTTCATGTTCTGATTTTGTCTCATGCAATTGTTTTCAAATCAGGAAAAACAAAGTGCTTAACAAAATGCAGAGCCAAGCTGAATAACATGAAAGAAGAACTGTAAAACCAAAACTTTACTTATGCTTCCCTGACCACATGTCCCAGCCTGGAATTATTCATTTTAGAATTGGAGAATATTCTTTATGTTGAAAAGAAACTTGAAATGCAAAATACTGTTTTTCTAAACCAGCCACCTTAGTGCCCACAGATCATAGAATTCATACATTCTTCTCCCTGTGTGTAATGTAATACAGATGTGCTTACAATACTTTAAAAGTGTTTCTAGCATTTAAAGATTAAATGCTTCACATCTTTTAAACATTATGTTTCTTTGAAATAAGCAGTATTTTTTTAAAAGTTAGTAGTAATTATATAAAAAAGAAAAATGAGATTGTATCAGATATCCAAGTATAGGATTTTAACTTACAAAGTAAAATATAAAATGGGGATAACTAAATTTTTCTTGGGAGGAAACAAGACCTGGGCTCTCAAACAGGAACTTTTCAAGTCACATTCTACAAACACTTGGAATAATTTATCTTCTGTGCATTTTAATTAAAGCATAAGGCTTCTATTCAAAGGCATTTTTCAAATAAGGGATTTTCTTTTACTTGTTTCAGTTTTTGGTAAATAATTTTCAGTGTACACTTATTGTTTTAGATGTCTTATTTCTTTTTGTAATATTAAATTTTAATTGGGTTTCTCTAGATTTCCAAATCTGAAACCAAGAAGCAACGAAAAGAGTTCTTCAAAAGCCACATGGGAATCAGAGCCTAAAATTACTGCTGATATAAAATATGTTCCTAGCAGAGGAATGTTCAGAGATGCATAAAAATTACTATGCAAAAAGTTATACATGCTTTGGATCCTAAAACTATAATGATTATACTTGTTTACTTAAAAAAACTTGGTTCCTGTTTTACATGCTAAGCAAGCACTGTGCAAAGCATGAAGGATACAAAGATTTATAAGAGACTCGTCAACTAATAAATTATTTTAAAAATATTTTATGCAATGAAAATCTGGTATGTTGTGCGATTTTGATTAGAATCAGTGGATTTTAGTGTTTAGCCTAAAATGTTGCAAACTTCTAGTCAGCAATATGCTATTGAGTGTCAGTAAGCTTCTGGGCCACAGCTTTCCAGCCTGTTAAATGAAGCAGTCAGATTTCACTAAATAATCTTTTAGCTGAAATTCTGAATTTCTTAAAATTTTCCACTACCAGTGGTTACTGTTAGTCTACCACTAATATTTATCAGTAAATTAAAAGTAATTTTTAAACTGTTTATAAAGAAAGCTTATCAGACACATATGGGGTTAACATTTTATGGACTTAGAATTTAGTCAAATGAAGCAATAACTTTTAGTGGTTGTTTGGGTTTGCAGTTTAACTCTGAGTTAAAGTCCTGGCTCCATTATTCAGTGGTCTGTGATCCTGGACAAGTTACTTAACTTATTTCATCCTCAGTTTCCATGCTTGAAAATGGGGATAATCATGGTATTGCTTCAGAGAGTTACTGTGAGGGCTAAATGATAAAACATAGAAACTGCTCACTCATTTATTTAAGCCCTAAGTACATGTGTTTTATATTTTTATTTACCAGAAATAAGAGCACTTTCCTATAGAAACTTTAGTTCAGGACAAAGTCACTGGATTTCATTAGCAGTGAACATATTGCCTTTATATGCATTTTGCATTTTAAATGCAGCCTTACAGCTTTCAGTATGACCTTTCAACTCATTATTTTATTGTCACATTTACTTCCAAGAAGATAAAAGTACTTTGAATGTTTCTGCTTCCATTATCTTGAGGCAAGTTTTAAGAGCCCAACTTTGCACTGCCTAAAACATTTAGGTATAGCTCCTTTGCAAGCCATTAAGCTACTGAATCCTAAGGGAGAGCTTTATCTTTTTGAAATTTTCACCAACTCTGGTATTTCCATTAGTATAATGGCTCTGCTACCATAAGACAAACTACTTAGGTTTGGTGGAATTAAGATACTAACATTTGTCTTTTCTCTTGCCCTCTGGGACCCTTCTTAGACATTTCCTCTTGTTATTTCACTTGCTCACCCTCACAGGATCACTGGCTGACCCTGCTCTGGGCAGCCTCATGGGGGTATTATGAGGGCAGAATGGCTCAGTGGGCTAAACAGGTGTTACAGTTACATTATATAAACAAAAGTTGTGATAACCAAGGGTGTGCTTTTAATCTTGACTGTCACTAACTTTCAAAGCAACTGGCCAAGTTCATGAACTTCTTTCTGTGTACTTTATTAGCAAATTAGTGTGCTTAAAAAAAAAAACTCCATAACTCAAAAAGACAAGTTTTTAAAGAAAGGAAGTCACAAACCCACTTTTCGTCCCATCTGATCACTGACATTTCATGGATCATCTCCCCTTCCATCTCCTAAAAAATACCAAAACTAAGTTTGAATTTCTCCAAATTTAATGATCTAGTAGCAGTCTCTAGGCCACAGTATTTTTCCACTAAAATAAGATCACTGAATTATGTGATCACCAACATCCCTTCAGCTCTACATTTCTACTATTTTTGATACTTATCTACTAAACGTAACACATTACCTATATTTTTGCGTAGTTTGTATTTATTTCTCAATCTAGGTTAGAAGTTCAACTAAATGATTCCAAGAAAGTTTTAGTTCTTTTATTTAAAATTTAAAAAGGTATTATTTAAAATTTCTCCAAATAATACTTCTGTGTAACAATTTTTGGAACTCATAATGTTCAAGTCACATAGAAAAAGATTTTGTCAAAGTTAATCTTTTTCTCACCCAATCTCTTAGTTTTCATATTTTAAAAATCACAGTAGTTAAATTAGTGCACCTTGTTTTGGAATTTTTTTATGTATCCATGTAAATGAGGGTGCTCCATGCTCATGGCTCATGTATAGTCCTCATTTACATGAAGCATAGATCATGAGTTGTGTAGTACATACATACACCTTAATTCAGAAAGTTCACCAGTTCAGAACTGCACTTGGTAAATTATCCTATTCTAACCACAATATTTAAACTATGAATGTGGTAAAATCAAATGGCCAACTATATATTTTAAAACCTGTTTTATAGAGGGGCTTACAAGGCTCTGACTTGTTCTAGATGTCATTTCTTTGAAATCTTTTCTGATTTTCACTGGTAAATTTATTACTTTCAAATCCACAAGGCTTGAGGAGTTCCAGTCTTATCACTGGTCCTCATGAGCTATGACTCCACAAGGAGACTTACTTTTTCTCACCAGTAGGATGGTAGGAAAGATACCTACTTATGGCCTTTTTAAGGACTATAATATAACAGGTCAAAATGTTTCCAAAGTGTAACTTGCTAAGCTAGCATCAGTAATAAGATTTTATACTCCAAAAGTAACTTGGCACCCCAGCAAGGAAATGACATACCTATTAGCAATTATATTTATGATTTATGACAGAGACAGAGACTAGTTAGTAGAAAAAGCATGAACTGAACTCTGTTAACAAACAGGCCGGAGTCCAAAGCCCAACCTTATAAACTGTACAAACTTAGTTTCTTTGGATAAGTCAATTTTTCAGAGCCTAAGACTCCTAATTAGATAAAGTAGAGAAGATGCAGTACATACTTTATTAGAATTAATGCATGTGAAAATGTTGTAAGCATTAGCCTGGCATTTCCTCAACTGATTCCTCAAATATTTACTTAGTGTCTACTATGCACAGATAGTCTGTTGGTAATGGAAGTTCATAGAAATAAACCTGACACTTTATGAGGGGAGGCAGACAAATAAACAACTATTGCATTTCACTGGCACAAAAAAACACTGGCTAGTAATGGTTTTTTCCTTTCTATATTTAGTACTCCCTTCAAGATCT